TCTTCTCTTCCCCCCTCAGAAGCCTTTCTCCACACTTCTGCTCCACACACAGACTGAAGATTCCCCAACTGCTGTCTCTAGTGCAGACTCATTCTCTGAGGCTCAGACCTATGTTGACCTCTGTGCTGGGTGTGTCCCACTGGGGTGTTCAATGTATGCTGCAATTTCAGTATTTCTAAAGCCAAACTCAGCATATCTCTCTCTAAATTCTTCTTCTTCTTTTCTTCTTAAACTCAACTGTTGGTACTACCATCCACCCAGACACCCAACTATCTTTCATATCCATTTCTAACCACTGAGATTTAAAAATTCTGTCCCTAAATATTTCATGACCCAGTCCTCTACCTTTAATACTGCCACCCTAACTCTCCTACATCACAGTTTCATTACTTTTCACGTGGACTACGTCCTAACAAACAACCTCTCATAGCTGCCCTATTGCTCTAAAACAAAAATTAGACCCTGTATTCCTCTACTTAAATTCTTTAATGATTCAGCATCCTCTATAAGTCTACAGGATAAAGTCTAAGTTTTTTTTAACATAAAAGGCCCCATATGATCTGGCGAATCTCTTCCTTGGACATGCCCTGCTCCAAAATTCATGCTCCAGAAACACTGAGCTCCTTAGAGTAACTGAAGACTTTCATTGTGCTGTTCTTATCCTCCATGCCTGTTCTTATGCTGGTCACTCTACTTCTACCCATTTTAATACGACTAATTACCCTCCATTTTTTACCATCAGCTCAGTGACCATTTCTCCTTGAAGCCTTTCCTGACTCTTTCTTGACTGTCCCTTACCACAACCTGAAGGGGTATAACAACCTGTGAGCTTCTCTATTATGTCTCTGAAAGTGTTTTTTTTTTAATTTTTTTTATTATGAAATTTATTGTCAAATTGGCTTCCATACAACACCCAGTGCTCATCCCAACAGGTGCCCTCAATACTCATTACCCACCCACCCTTCCCTCCCACCCCCCATCAACCCTCAGTTTGTTCTCAGTTTTTAGGAGTCTCTTATGTTTTGGCTCCCTCCCTCTCTAACCATTTTTTCTTCTTCCCCTCCCCCATGGTCTTCTGTTAAGTTTCTCAGGATCCACATAAGAGTGAAAACATATGGAGTCTGTCCTTCTCTGTATGACTTATTTCACTTAGCACAACACTGTCCAGTTCCGTCCATGTTGCTACAAAAGGCCATATTTCATTCTGTACAGCAAAGGAAACAATCAAACAAAACTGTTAAAAAAAGGCAACCAACGAATGGGAAAAGATATTTGCAAAAATGACATATCGGACAAAGGGCTAGTATCCAAAATCTATAAAGAGCTCACCACAACCTGGCTACACCCGTCTGAGAAACAAAGAATAACCTGAAGTGAAATGGGCAGAAAATATGAATAGATACTTCTAAAGAAGGAACATCCGAAGGCCAACAGGCACATGAAAAGATGCTCAACGTCAGTCTTTACAGAGAAATACAAATCAAAACCACACTCAGATATCTCCTCCTCACGCCTTCAGTCAGAGTGGCCAAAAATGAACAAATCAGGAGACTATAGATGCCGGAGATGTGGAGAAGCTGCATTCTCCCTGCACTGCTGGTGGTGAATGCAAACTGGTGCAGCCGCCTGGAAAAACAGTGTGGAGGTTCCTCAAAAAGTTCCGTTGTTGGTAACAGACTCATTCTATCATTCAGCAGTAAGACATCTGCTAGAATTTACCCAAAGGATGCAGGAGTACTGGATTTATTAGGGGCACTTGGTAGAAAATTCAATGTTTATAGCAGCAGCCTCAACAAATAATAGCCAAATTATGAAAGAGCCTCCAAAATGCCCATCAACTGATGAATGGATGTAAAAGAAATTGTGGTTTACATAATAATGGAGTACTACGTAAGGCAATGAGAAAAAAAATAACAAATATGGCCTTTGTAGCAACATGGACTGAACTGACAGTGTTAAAGTATGGAATAAGTCATACAGAGAAGGACAGACTCATATGTTTTCACTCAGGATCCTGAGAAACTTAACAAGACCAAGGGGGAGGGGAAGAAGAAAAAAATGGTTAGAGAGGAGGATGGTTTCAAAACATAAGACCCTAAAAACCGAGAACAAACTGGAGGGTTGATAGTGCGGGGAGGAAGGGCAAGTGGGTAATGAGCATTGAGGCACCCCTGTTGGGATGAGAGTGGGACTGTCAGGTGGAAGCCAGACCTGATAATAATAAATTTCAATAAAAAAAATTAAAAAAAACACTTTCAGAGACATAATAGAGAAGCCTACAGGTTGTTATACACCCCTCTCAGGTTGTGGTAAGGACAACAAGAAAGAGTCAGGAAAGGCTCATTGGGGATATAAATGGTCACCGAGCCTGATGGGTAAGAAAAAAATGGGAGGGTAACGAATAGTCTGCATTAAATGGGCAGAAGCTTACAGATGAACTGCTAAAAGCATGGGGCTGAACAGGAGGCAAGCATGTATGATGGAATGAGGATAAGAACAGCACAACGAAAGTCTTCATCACTCCATGAGCCTTCAGTGTTCTGACAATATAACTTTTGGAGCAAAAAGGTCCAATGGAAGAGATCAGATCATGTTATGGGGTCTTTTATGTTAAAAAAAAAAACCTAGACTCATCCTGTAGACGATAGAGGATGTTGAATCATTAAAGAATTCCAAGAAGAGGAACACAGGGTCTAATTTTGTTTTAGAGCATAATAGGGCAGCTATGAGAGGCTGTTTTAATAGACGAGTAGATATCCATGAAAAGCAGAATGAAAAACCAAAAGAATGTGGTGGAGAGTTAGGGCAGGTATATTGGTATGTAGAGGACCAATGGGCATGAAATATTTAGGGAGGGGGACAAGAGAATTTTTAAACTCAGTGGTTGTGAAACGGATGAAGTGAAGATAGTTGGGTGTCTTGGTAGATGAAAACCAACAGTCAGAAGAGTTTGGGGTTGAAGAAAAGAAGAAGAATCGAGAGAGATATGCTGAGTTTAGAAATACTGAAATTGCAGCACATTGAACACCTGCGGGACAAATCTGGCACAGAGTGCTCTTCAACATAGGTCTGAGCCTTGGGAGAATGAGTCTCAAATTAGAGACAGCAGTTGGGGGAATCTTCAGTCTGTGTGTGAGCAGAAGGGGTGGGAGAAAGGCTCTGAGGGGAAAGAGAAGAAGATGGTTGAAGAAGGGAAACATTAACACTGAGAGTTAAGAGAGAAAGAGGAACACACACACACACACACACACACACACACACACATCACCAATAATAATAATAATTACACACTATCACACACAAAAAAAACAAAGGTCCAGTCAGAATGGTGTGGAGGAGAACCTGTGAAAACGTGTGTGCATGTGACATGAGGTGTGAGGTAAGCATCCCGGGGAAGACAGAGACTGAATGATTATCAACTATTTCAAAGCAGAGGAAGGCCAGAGACATATTAACTGGAAGTAGAGCCAGAATGCTCAAGAGGGAAGATGGAGAACTTTCCACAAGGATAAGGTAATAATGCTGGAAGGGAGACTTACTTGGAAGGAAAATGAGGCAGCAAAAAGAGTCTTGTTTTTTCTAGATCTAAATTAGATGGAGAGAAGCAAGATTGGGATGGAGCAAGGAAGATATATTGTACAAATAATTTGGGGGGGATTTAGGGCAAATGTTGTATGGAAGCATGAGTCAGTGGGGGGAAAAGAAGATGCTGCCCTTGGAAATCTCTCTGTGTCACAGGATCTTGCTTCAAATAGTGATTCATGTGTAAACCATTTTCTTCATGA